TAATGACCCTTCAAGTTGTTTTTATCATAATTACTAAAAGTTGTCGCGCATAATATCAATGAAAACGTAGAAAAGTCCTCAATTAAGTGACGCCTGTGTGATTAAACAGAATGTGTTTAACGAGGAAACCGGACTGGTTTACTCCTGCATCCTTCTCCAAGGCAATGGAGTTCCCTGTGCAGCTTCAATCTCGTCAATAGAGAAGCTCTGTCTGGCCTTCTGCGGACATCCTGCTGGGAGCCAGCTCGCTCTGCACTACTAACACCGGAGGAGCCACGGGGAGCGGTTCCTCTCTCCAGCGGAAGACAAACCGACATTACGAGGGCGACAGACGAAGAGTACAGGAAACGCCTGCAAAATGTTGTGCAAGCCACTATGTTACTAATTTCCAATAAGCGTACACATTGAAGGAAAACTATGCAGCCTCCGGCTTTGTGAAAAAAGTCTATGGTTTTGTTGGATACTCAGGAACGCGGGGAAAATCAAAAACAAAGAAGTAGTCTAGATTTTTACTGACCAAAATGTGCCAGCAAGGCTTCAAACATACCACCTGATATTAAATATTTGTGATTTACATGTTGCAGAGAACGTGTTAGGGAACAGCAACCGTTTTGATATTCTTGGATTGTAAAGAACTATTTACTGAATATTCAATATACTGTATTATTGAAGTATTCGTGAGGACGGTTTTTGTTACAAATGTTAATTTGTTAATTTATTGTTGTTTTATACTCGTACGACAGTACTTTATTTACCGTTCTTGTGTGTGGTACTTTTTGGAAACCATTTTGTATAATTTTTTGTTCAGCAGCATTTGCACTGCTGAATACCACCAGACTCATTATATTTTTTAAACAGGAAATCAATCCAAATAAAGTTTAGACAGTTCTAATACGAATGCTCTCACATCTCTTCAAATAACTTGCAATTTATTTAATTTAAACCTTCTCATAAAAGATTTAAAGTGTATGGCTAAATAACCAACTGTTTTCATTTGTCGGTACAAATAATTCTCTTATATTGCGGGTGATTACTACTTTTTGGAATCTTTTTTGTTTAATATTTAACATTAAAATTGCGAAAGATCCAGGGTTCCCATGCAAGTAACTGTATGTGGTAAAGGTGATCAATGTGGTATTTAAACATTACTGTGTTGCGAATATTCAGGTATTTGATAAACAGAACTGTCTATAGCATTTTGTCCAAGACTTTTGGATTACTACAGCGGATTTGTATTACCTTGTTTTACGTTGTGATACCAACGGAAGGCTCCCCCTAGAAAAAGATCTCCGACTTTTAGTTTCCGCCAAAAAAAGGATTTTCGACGTGCAACCACGTGATTGTTTTTTATATTTCAGTTACGGTGTGTTAGAGTATGCACCCTTAAAGAGTTCAAATATAAAGGAAAATAATTTATTGCTTGTTGATTTTCTAGTAGCTCCCAGAAATTCGTTTTACGGGCGATTTACGACCACGTGTGAAACGTTTAACAATGGTTGGTTCAGATCTTATTACTTAAATACTTTCTCTTTCACCTTTACTGCTTAATCCAAACTTTTCATTTCTTCTCAAACTTTGCCAAACCTATAAAATTGATTGTTCAATACAGCAACTACGATTAGCCATACATTCTGAGGCTTGCCTGAAACTTTTCTTATAAGGTCTAAACAGGCAAATATTGACAGGCATATTATTGCATCAGCTCGATATCAGTCTCTTCGAGAAACTTCTTCCGAGAGTATGTGAAGTTTGGAAACTTGTATCACAGCTGGGACCCTGCGTTCGGTGATATCGGTTGGTGTGGAGGTGACAGGGTGAGCAAAGAACGTCAAAGGGCTGAGGGAAGAGGGAAAAAATGTTACGATCAAATTTCCTTTTTTCAGTTATTTCCCTTGAAGAAAATTTGAAACATGACATTTAAAGTGTACTTTTTATAAAATTAATTGATTTTAGAATATGCCAAAAAATACTCAAATTTGCTTACACTATACTCATAAAGAAACTTTGTGTAAGATAAACGAGCGCCACTTTTTATGCGTAATAATGTCTACCATAAATATTTGGAAAGTGATATTAATCATGTCATTAAACACGAATAAATTATTGTATTGTCATTAAATACGATTACATTTATATATTTATAATTTTATTCTTCTTTCAAGAGCAATTAATTATAACGATGTACTATACAATATATTTCTGACGGATAAATGCAGTAAGAATTCTTTCATTTAAATTTCCATATATCTCGTGGTGATCATGTGTTAACGCCAGTGCTGTATCCAAAGCAACATGTTACCAAGTTGTTTTCGTATTTTATTTGGATTTGGTGTCTAACTTCAAATAAACAATCGCGCTCTCAAGATAATTTTATTTCTGTTCAAAAATCGCGAACTTGAGCCAGATAAAAAAACACAAATTCGTATTTTATATTTAAAATACAGTACTTCCCTGCGCCACTACCACAGTGCAGCACTCCCTAGAGAAGCGTGCTTCAGAAGGGAACATTTTCAAGAAAAAGAAAAATTCACAGAAAGACGTCGGTTCGCAGCTTTGTTGCAGCGAGAGCAGAGCAGCACTCGGGCGCCGAATTGATCGTCCATAGAACAGATAATATCTACACGACGTCAAGAGCTGTCAGTCCTCATTTATATATCAGTGCATTATTGACAACTTGCCGGCCACGTAATGAATGCTTCTTGAATGCTAACTGATTTACGAACCGTAAACGTGGGAACATCAGATGACGTGAGCTACGTGGATATTTGGTAAAAACACCCAAGCACCACATTAACCCCCATAAAAACACCACATATTCCTGAAAATTACCTTTTATATTATTTTATTTCAATAATTATTGAACATTACGTTTCGGAGACTTTTTGTCTTATCCTTCTTCAGATATAGGACAACTGAACCGTATATATATTATCAGTTGCTCTTAATTTGTTTTATAGCTAAAAATCCTAAATTTGTATTAATATATTGATATGTGAGGAATCAATGTCGAACTGCCATCATTTGTTCATTTCGTCATTTTCAAGAACAATTACAAAACAACTAGTAAAATGTAGCGTCGCCCACGCTGTAAACGGTTTTTAAAATAGTTTCATGTGTTGAAAATTTCTTTCATACCTCATTTCTTTTATTCACAGCATTGTTAAAAAATGTTCTTTCAGTATCTGGCATTGGAGTTGTTCAATGGCCTGGCATTGGCCAATGAATCGTAGTAGCTGATAATGTTATACTTGCGTTCTGAAGTTCCAACACCCAATGGACTTGTATCTTACCTCAATACGGGATAGAAACTGGACTTATTGCAATTTCAAAATTATAATCGCCATAAATATTTGCAGGTTTTGATGCTAATAGCTTAATTTTAGTACAGTTACGCTTTTATGATTTTTTGTTAACACGCACAATAATTCACATAGCTTATTTGCATTAGTGCAAACGCTAAGTGCAAAAACGGGGAGCGTTTTCAATTATTTACGAAAATTATGAAGCACTTCCATATTTCTCTCCCGTAATTTTTGAAGAGATTATGACTTCACAAACTCAGTCTAAGTCGTGTTCACTTTATGTATGCATTTGCTTTATAAATCGTTCTGTATGCGAATCTAACATTGTAGATATTCAGCTAGTTTGATTAATTGCGTTAAAGGTTATTCCGCGTGCAGAAATTATATATATGTTGTTGTTAAATAAATATCGTAGCTTCATAGCTGAAGTGAAACGCGGTAAGGCGCATAGAAACCGGGCGCCCACCTCACACCCCCAACCACCAGTCTCCCACTTTCATCCGGACTTTTATGACTTTTTATAGCATACACAGCTATAGAGCGTATACGGAGCTAGATATGAGCTGTATAACGTATCTGTACTGACTGGATAATGTTTAGGAGGTGAAAATGAAAACTGTTGAATGACGCTGCATGTTCTTTTACGGAGGGAATGAACGGGTTCTAGTGATCGACCAGCCACAAAATGGGTGAGGAACTTCGGCCCGAGGGATTTCTGTCGCCGCTCTATCATTAGAATCCTTAGAACGTCGTTAGCGTATAAATAACTATTAACAGACTTAAGGGTGAGCAATGAAACTTTGATGTTTTGCAAAACATTCCCAGCCCTTGTGCATATGCAATATATGCAAGACACTGGAAAATATGTAACTTGTGTTCTTAAACACCTTTCAAAAAAATAAATGTCTCTTGCCAGCAAGCCTGTGTAAGAATTCCAAGCACTGCCGCACATCACATCCGTACTCTCTGCCTTATGTCTTCGGTTTGTTTAAATAAACTGCCAAGTTAAAGTTCTGTCAGATTTTTATAGATTTAATGTATCAGTTAGCATTATATACCAAATAATAAGTACTTTTTTGGGGCGGGGTTTCCCAACAAACATAATTTGCATTTCAATTTGAATACTTTTCGCAGCTTGTATTTTCCATTTCATTGAACATTTCCCGTAAAATATTTTCACATCCAACCTTGTTTTTAGCGTAATATTGAAGATATATCGTCCCGCTTTTCTTCATTCAACTCCTGTCATATTTCATTGTTAATATTTGAATACAAAAGTTGTCGTTCGTTTTGCAGATTAGACGAGAATACACATTCGAATAAGTTCAATTTTTATTTTATTTTCTCTCAAATATTATGAATAATGAGATTAAAATGTTATTTTGTCTCGCTTATTCGAATACCTAACTTAACAGTATTATCGAGAAATGAATGAAATAAATATCTTTCAGGAAACTTTTTAAATATGTATTATAAAGTATAATAATCCTACTGAGATGTATTAATCTGGTTACAATCCATGATTTTTATTTCACAACTTCTAAACAAGATTCAGAAAACTTTTTCGATCACCAGATAATTGTAGTAAATGCAATTCATCGTTGAAAAGGTATAAGTAGTATCCTCTACAATGTCTAGAAGGTAGTGGTGTAAAAGGTAGGTTCGCCCCGCAAGTTGTCGAAGTTCACTGACCAGAAGTTATAGATCCAATTTCTCGATTTCTCCTGGTGTAACTTTGCTTTGTTTTATCGCCAAGACGGAGAGCAGCAAGGGATTTAGCACCCGCTGCCAACAAAGAACGAAGGAAGGGGAGAGGTTGGCCTCACTGCCTCTGTGAAGCAACTGGCGCTGCAGGGGCAGAGTCCCTATCGGAGCCCGGCAGTTTTTCCACTTATGAGCTGTTGCAGCTAAAGCTGTAGATCCTTGTAGCAGCCCCCATGGACCTAATTTACTGGACCAGCTGACGGGAACCGCGCTAAGAGGGTATGATCAAAGAGATGAAAGGAAATTGTGCTGAAATGGAAAAGAAGAACAAAGGATGTTGTGTGACATATACACCTGATTGTCCGGAGATTCCCAGGAATTTATTTATTACTTTTCCAATTATCCCCACCCGCCAGATCCACCCACACCGCTCGCCTCGTTCGTTAAGTGAGCTGATCTCTCCTTACATATATTCCACAGTCGCCTAAGCACATTCTCTTATTATTGTTGATTACCGTTGTATGCTTATTTCATAAACTTTTCTGATGTATTTATTATTTCTTTCTTCACATTCTCTAAGTTCCTCTACTCTGTTTTGATATCTAATTTTTGATATCCCATTTATTCATTTCATGTTTTCTTCAGATTTGCATTTCTACATTTTTTCACGGTCGGCTTACACATAGAAACTTATTTTATTCATTTTCTAAACTTCTACTCTAATCCACAAAAGTAAGAGTATGTAAGAGTGTGGAGCGGGGTCGAAGCAGGAAGCTTGGTCCTAGAGAACTGTGATAAAATTTTATCATAAAACAAACCCGAACAACGTCAGGAAATTAGCTAGGTAGCGTACTCGTTACATAATTTCTTTTGTGCGCCTTTTTTCTTCCAACCCAATATTCTCCTCTCTCTCTCTTTCGAGTGTTCGCTCCCGGCCGTATCAGCTGCCGCTCCGACCGCTGAGACTGCCCCGTCCTCCGCAATTTACGAGCTCGAGTAAATCAAGCACTGAAGGCTCATGCGACATCTCCCGACCGCCATCGCCCGCCCTGCAAGACGTGGCAGCGGATTCTTCCAGGCCCTCGACCAGCGTTTACCGAACACAAACTTCATGGCTGGGCCACATGTGTGGCCGGAGCTCTCATATGAAAGAAGTGGTGCTGAAACAGCACATACTTTCCCGTATTATTTGTATTGGTTATACAAAAATTAAATTTTTGAACGTGTTCCCTACTAAATACTTCAGCTCTTTCTTCAAAACTTGAATGTGTTAAAGACACAAGAGAGTTGATTTTTTAAATATTTTTTCAACTTTAGAAAAATTAAAGTTTAAATGACAATGACACTTAATTGACAGAAAATGTAATGTTTTATGCTCTATTCTTACAAAATAATAAAAGCAAAAAAAATGAAACCCTTTTTGAGACATTTTTGTTTATGAACGAAATATTTGTGGAAAATTATTCACACAAAATTACTCGAAAACTAAAAATATTTATTTATAAAATTATTAAAATATCTAATACCGCTAAGTAGGTTGCCTTAAAAAACTGTTGCTGCATCACCATATACGTTTACGCCTCATTTATAACTTGCAATTTTCGAAATACAGAGAGTTAAGTGAAAATGATAAGTTAGCCATTTTACTTCTTCGTCTACGTATATGTATGTACAAAATAATGTACTATGCAGAATAGAGAAAGTTATGTAATGTTGATTTAAAACTCCTATTTTTGGACAGAAAATCACGAATTGTGGGGCCCTGATACAAAAAAGTGAATAAATCCTGTTCCAATATCTAGTAAATTTCTTCCTCTAACACGTTATGTAGTTATATTGTAAGAATTAAGGATCCTTTATACCGATAACTTGTTTTCAAAACGTCCGTCCATCCGTGAACAACACTAGCGCTTAAACAATACGTAGGATTTTTCCGAATGAATATTTCCTTGTCGATCTGGCCCGAGACAAAGCTCTGCGAGTTTGAGAACCATTCTTCAAAATTTGGAAGTACTTTATATGAAAATCTCGGGACATTTCCAAAATTGTATCAAAAATGGCTCAATTTTTTTTCTTTACATGTTTGAAAGTGTAGAGTGAAACACACTTATAACGATGCCATTGGTTTCATTTTTTCTGTTTATTCTGAATTTTCTAAAGTTACAAAATTGTCTTCCTAAAATCAAAATATTGAAGAGAGCGATTGTTGTTTCAAATCAAAGAATATAGCCAATGGTGGTAAAAAGTGACCCCAAAAAAATTCTATAATTGCAATACCTACATGAAAGAATAAAAAATGCCATAGATTTCCCAAAAAAATCAGCCTTCTAGGGTGTTACAGAAATACAACGGGACGCGTTTTACTCCGGAACGTGCTTTGCATGATTTACTCTCTCAGATTTTATTGCGTGTATCAGGCTAAAAAAATTCACGGACGAGGGAAAATAGTTGAACTAACTTTTATTGTAAACCAATTTTGACGCCATATTCAAATAAAAAATGTTTGAAATTGATTTTAAACGTGATAATGTTGGAGTACAATCTCCGTCCCACCTCCGAGTTATTGAAGGGTGCTATGTGACATTCCAGAGGAAAAACGTCAGCCAGTATTTCATCGTTGTCATGTCGAAAATCAATTTCAAAAATTTAACTATTTATTTCCGTCTTGCTCAAACTGAATTACAGTGACGCATCAATCAGCACCGTCGCCTGTGTTACCAAACTGTGCATTATTTGTGAACTGGCCTCCGTAATTGCATCACGTGACCGTCCTTAGCTGCGTCAGCGGAGGTGTCGTGCGTCGGCACCATTACTCACCGTACGTCCCGAAGATCCAATGGCCCTGGAAGCACGACGCAGCCACCATGCCGTGCAGCAGGGAGGTGGTCAGGTCCGCCACGGCCAAATTCACGATGAACGCGCTGAACGGACCGCGCAAACGGCGGAACCTGAGCACAAGAAAGGCTTTACGTTCGGCATCAAGTTGCGTAAGTAAAGACACATTAAAATAGACACATTCAAAGAATGAATGAAATTTCGAAACGAATGTTGGTCAAAATTTTGTGTTAATGGCTACCAGATACCTATTGAAGAACAATATCCAGACGTACATGAGCAGAAGGAGTGGAAGCTGCTTTGGGGAAGAGAAGAATGAAGTCGAGAGATGAAGTTAAATTGAGGCTCGGTTGCAAGACACACCCTAGGGGGGAATATAACTAGGTATGTTACTACTATGAAGTTATACAAATTGAACCGTGTAATATTTTTTCACTATTTACTCTTGTAATAACTACAACCAATAATGATGGCTGCAAGAGACTACTGCTTGTGCTGTAACATAGCACAAACTTTCACATTTGATGAGTAATGTGCTGTTAATATGGGTATTTTTGATTGCTTGATCTATTGATCGATTGACCTACTTGTGATTTACAATGTAATATGAAATACATCTTAGTTGTATATATTAATGTCAAATGCATTATATTTTTAAATAAATTTAAAAAATGAATTTCTTTCATTCTTCTCTCCCATTCGTAAATTCTTCAGTATTTTTTTCTTCTTAGATTTTTGGAAAATCATCTCTACATGTTCTTGGCGATCTTTCCGTTTTCAACTTTCGAAAGATACATATCCAGATGTTAATTTCAATGTTCATTGTTCTGTCATCTTTTCCACATGCACACATTATGTGAACTGTTTTTGTTAACCCTCTCATGTATATTGGCCTCATATGAGGACTCTTACTATTTCTTGCTTATAACACATTAGAATTTCAACTTGAAGTTAATTTGGAAGATTTGCGATTTTGTAACGACTCCAAACAATTCAACGAAATACCACTAGATGTCAGAAGTGTTACTAAATGTCACCACTAATGTCAGTAGAACTCCAGAAATACCGTCTCATTGTTGTGCTTGGTGGTAGGAAATTGCCAGTAGAAAAATTCGAAATCTTTGGGTTTTTATTTCGTGACACTGTGATTTTTGCTGCTGCTCGAATTTTTTGTGTGTTTTCGAACTATGTAGATGAAGTGTGATGGAGTATTCTGTTCGATGTTTTATTTTATGCATAATTTTTCCCTCAAAATTATCTGTCCTCATATTAAGACTTCATAAACAAAAGGTAAAACCACGAGAGCAGGTCTTCGAGGTTAGTATGTTGGTTAAAGGTACATTATACATTATTTGCAAACATTATAGTCTAGATTATTTGTTTATTTACTAGGTACTTTTGTTTATTTACTAGATACTTTTGTTTATATATAGATAACCTATATCTACGGCTCTCCTATGTGGTCAGAAACAAAAAGGACAAAAGTGAAAGTATTTCCGATAACATTTTTCGATTGACGATTTTGCACAGATATTTAAATCTGAACATGACTTGAACTTTAGTGATTCCAATGACGATCCGTTATAAGAATAGTAGCAATCAGTGAGTCGAGTGAGAGTGATGATGAAAGTAATGACTAAAATTCCATTGCCCAAACGAGCAATAAACAGAACCCTATTGCGTGCGACTCAGATTGCTGCATTTGCTGCTCGTATGAAAGTACAGAGGCAACCAATGTGGTTTACTGAAAGAGGTGACTACTTGCAGGACTACATGTAGTGAACATTCATGCAGAGCCCTGTATACTATTTATGGTTGTGTTTGAGAATTTGGCGAATGAGGATTTTTTATAATATGCAAAATGTTGTCTGCAGTGCATGGATCAAACATCAAGGTTTCGCTCAACGAGGAAACGAGGGCGCCCTTCGCCTGCGGCACCGCCACTGAAGGCGTCAACTGCCATGGTCATTGGTCCGTAAGTGTAGTTTATGCTTTTTGCTCGGGAAATAAATAAATGTTATATATTATATTGAATGAGATTACATTATTATATTATATTCACTGAGATTAAATGGAATATTTTTTGAACAATAATAAAAAAACAGTGCAGCGTTTTTATTACGTACGTTAGCGTACATTTGACGGGAACATTTCTCATTTCTAGCCGATTAGTAGCTGGGATTTGACACATTCTGAATAAATTATTTTTTACAATAGGGCACACGGCACACGAGTTTTAGAAAATTCATATTTTGAGTTAAATTTTAGTTTATCTTTAATACAATATAGTATGTTAATTAATTTAATTATAATATTATAATCAATTATTATACTAATTAATATAATACGATGTATTATACACGATAAATCAGTAAATCAGTGCATGGTATTCTTTTGTGAAAGCAAACTAACACTATTAGAATTCAAAGTCACTGAAAAGTGTAGGCAAAATTTCACGTGTGTAAATAGATGAGAAAAGGAAATTCAATTCTCAAATTGGTAAATAAATAGCGCTGTAAAAACAGCTCGCACTCTGTCGCACTTTTGGTAGCAGTAACAAAATATTTTAATATTGTAATTTCTTTCCCACTAACAATTGGATCATGTACTGATAAACTTCTAACTACACTAACAAGTGACCTTTCAACTGTTGTATTTATATTGGTTCAGGTTGAAATCCGGCCTCATATTTTTGTAGATGAATATTCACATGTACGTGATTACAAATAACATATTTTTTAGTTTTAAAATTTCAAATAGGAGTAATTTTCCGCCATTGGACATAGGGTACAAAATGTTTAGAGAAAAAAATAAAAATATTTAGTTAAGCTTGATATGGAACTCCAGGAATTCTGGTCAGGCCCACGTGCTCTACCAGCTTAGATATCTATTCATCCCATAAGAGGCCATCGTGTGCCGCGGTATAATGTGTTCGTAATTGTCCTGTGATACTCCACACTTCAACTCAAACTTTTGGTGTAAGAGGTAAAAGAAAGGGGTTAAAACTAATGGTGCTACAACAGCAAGTACATTTCGTATTGTTTGCAACGTAGTATTGTAATAGCACATTAAGCCGGAATAAACTGAAATACCTAGATATTTGTAGTCCACAGACCGTTTCATCGATTGATGTAAAGAAAACTAAGTTAACAATTCAATGGGTGAATGGAAAAATAATATTTTCCAAAAGTTAATTCTGAAAAAATCAAGTTACAAACTTTAATACAGATGAAACTGTTGAAATTCGAAATTTTTTTAATTTCAGAAATGTTACACTCAACCATCTATGTTATAAGGAATAACTGAAATAAAACATTATTAATAATGTGTTATAATTTAAACAAAAAGTGTTTTTCATATCAACGGAGATTTACCAACCGATCTCATTTCAAAATAATAATATGCCACAAAAATAATACATTTTATAGTTGTAAGAGTGCTCTTAAATTCTATAACTTGGAGTCGTCTAATTATAAGTTCAAACTCTAAGAAGAGCTCATAGGTTATTATATTTTTCCTTTTCAAGATATTTTTGTGAACAAGCAGTGTATTGGCATACAATTCACTCTGCAAGAACTTTACAGAATTTAATAAGTTGTGTGCAATTTTCGTTGGAAAGTAGTCTTTGAGTTCTTTAATAAGATTTGCGGACTTGATAGCATGAGATCTGTTATTGTTTTCTCTTCCATTTTTTGGAAACAGAACTGACAAGACAATTCCTGTCAAGCGTTGAGCCTGAATGTGTGATTGTCCATTTAAGCTCGTGAATTATTGTTAACAAACTGACAGAACACATTTTTTCAACGTATAATAACAACAAATTACTGACTTGTCGCTTTTTGTTCCCCTCTTATCTCCTTTTGGGTACATTACTTGCAGACACTAAATCAGTAAGAAAACAAGAAAATTGCATCAGCCCCGTACCGTTGACAAATAACAAATGTGAGCCATCCGCTGCGTGCAGCTCGAGCCACCCGATGTTGGTAATCCTGAGTGGAAGGGCAGGACGTGAAGGCAAATGATCCCATATTGAACTGTTTTCAGTCCCAACAAGTATGTCCATGCCTTCTGCAATAATTTCTATAAAAACACGAAAATGACAAATTTTGGACTAGACCCGGTTTTCATCTCAGTCATTCAGCTGATGTACATTCCACTGCAGAATACCGAAGTATGAAGTGAGTTGTAAAATGAAATCATTGCTTCACTTAATTAATTGTTGCGAAAGTGATTTAGAACCGCTAAAGTGCTGCTGTTGTATTTAAGTTTCCGAAAATGTGTAAGAATTTTCACCTCAATACGAACTTGCAAGAAAATATTTTCCCTATTATCTATATTTAAGATTAATATTTCCCTATTATCTATGAAAGCTCTGTAGCTCTGGAAGAAGATTAGAACGCGGCAGTCAGTTAGAATATTATCTACCAATATATGAGAGATCCGTTTCAAGTTCTATAAAATGAAATATATATTTTTTTAAATTATAACTTTAACAGCTAGATATAGAATTAAAACATTGTATTAAACATTAACAGACACCAAGTACTCTGCATTTACATGAGACTTAATTAAAAGTAAATATAAAAAATAGGCCCGTATTTAAAGAAACAAATATTGATAAACATAATTAGCTTATTTTGTATTGTTTTCAAGTATTAAACATACAGAGTCATTTATGAGAAAAGCAAATATTGCATACCAGCGGAACTTGGCAGACATTGTCCTACCCTCCATAACTTTCTCCTTCCCTCTCCCTTTCTCTCTCCAACTGCCCCTGTCCCCTCTTCTCCGACTCTCCGTGACTCTTCGTCTCTCTCGACCGTCTCTCTGCCGATGTATCTCTGACTCTCTTTCTATGTCTTTCTGGTTGTTTCTCTGGTCTATGTCTGACTGTCTCCCTCCGTCTCTCCTGGGCGTTATTTCACAATCGCACGGGAAGACACTTAATACTTCAGGGTTCTGTGCGTTTTGTTAGAGCGTACTATATTATTGCCTATATTATTGCCACAAGCGCAAGCAATAAGATAACAAAGATGGGTCGCAATCGAATGAACGGTACGGCAGCGCGTGAAGTATGAACCACCCAACACACAGAGACTTTTATATATTACATATTATCAATTATAATTGGCCTGATGATATAGCAGTTAACACATTGAATTTCCTTTTTTGAACGCCAGTACTCTTGTTTTCAAATTACCGTGTCCCAAGTTTGTACTCTGCTTGAAACACAAGACCCCTTGATTGCTCCCAACTGCTTCAAAGGCTTACTAGATTAGCGGAACTCCGAGGCAAAGTGACAATTAATCTTACTTGCTGAGACAGGGTGCTCCATTTGAGGATGACAGTTTCAAGAATCTACTAACGCACTGGCTTGCTTGTAGAACAAGACATATTCCCTTCACCGTAACTAGCAGACTCCGCCTGCCTAAACTTTCGTCACACAGATACAGAAACGGAGATGATTTAAGGAAAGCTACAACTTTTTACCCGACCGAGAATCGAAGCCGAGATCGCTCCTATTGCTCTGCCCGTGAGCCACCTTAGGGCTATGCTTTCGATTTAAATGCACGTTATTAAGTTATCAGAATATTTACATCTTTTTTAGTGCAGTATCCAATGAAACTGAAAAGTAATAAATTAAAAGAATAAATATAATATATAAAAATAAATAAATAACATTTTTCAAACATGAATATTTAGTAGATATTCTATCTCACTAGGAAAATTAACTCCCTCCAAAACAAAAGAGATGTTAATGGTAAATTATTATGATGATTATGCAAGCAAATTTCTCACTTTAAATACTAAAAAATGTTTTGGGTAATTTAATACAAAATATTTTTTAACAAACGTCGAATGTATTAATTTACGTAAAAAATAAATAAGCAATGGATATTTTTATTTATTTCTTGTAATATAGTTCTGACAAAGGTGGAATACCCGAATATAAGCTATTAGTTTCCAAATGCTCAAGTTCTTGGGATGCTGAGTCATATGGGAGCTTATTATAAAAAACAATGACATGTTAATAAAGCTTGGTTCTGAACAATTCCAAGTAATTCGGTTATTTAGTTGTTGATTGATTATTATGTAAATTCGAGCGCACACTTCCTCCTCTACTGAAACATTATTTACGTTCTTGACTTTCGAAAACTTTCTTCACTAGTTTTCCTGATAAAAAACCCTTTCCCAACAGTGAACACTCTTCGCTAATTTTACGATCCTCTTTACTGTTATGAAATCCAATGGCATAAAACAACCAAAAATACACTCCTTATATTTAAACTATACAGTAGAATTACACGGTTAAAGTAGGGTACACGGTACATCCACAGAGAAGCGAGGCGGCGGGAGGGGAGGGGTCTCCTAATTATGCTACGCACTCTGATAGCAATTGCGGATAGGCGATTTTCATGCCTCCCTTCATACGCTTTGTCTCCACCGCATTGTAATGTCAATTTACTTTCAAAGGCACGTTTTCTCGCTTCGCTCACCCGGATCCCTGTTTTGGCGAGGCTCTGGCCTTCGGCCCTCGCGTTCACTGTAAACATCCTTGAGTTTATCCAAGGCATAATTACCAATTCACTTTTATAAGAAAGCACTTTTCAAGGAAGCCTCCAGAATTCAACTGCGCAGTTGCTATCGGAGCGGCGCGAAGTGCCGATTTAAACGACTTCCTCATTTCATGACTTCCATATTTCAAGTTGTACTGTATACTAGACTTAAGTTAATTACACATTTTAAACCCGAATGAAAATGTTTTAACAACCATGAATATTTACACCATGTCAAATGTTGCAAAATGGAGTACGTTAGACAGACAGTTCTGAGACTATACTGTACGCATTGTTTGTTAGCTCCTATTTACAAAAATAAACGCTATATTTTATACAGGACAGTCTCACCTCTGGAGTTGCTATTTCCCTCAGCTGTTTCTGCGACCTCGGCACCACTTAGCCCGCAACGTCGACCCCCAGCTCCGCAATGTGGCGCCGGTCGCTCCGCCGCCCCTCTAAGACCTCTCGGGCGTCTTAGGGCACAACCGAAGCTCGCAGCTCCGCGCTTCTAACTTGGCTAAATTCCCACGATCACACGACCGTGTGGCCAGAACACATAGTTTCTACACATATGATATCCACACATCCATTCAACACTTAATTTCCACTACCTTTAATCACTGTCCGATCGGAACTAATCGCATTTAATTTAAGACTTGTTGGTCCATTACTTCCAAACACATCGTTTTTTCACAGTTTGGGGGCCCATATTCTGTTCTCGGCACCACGTGCATTTCGTCGCCTGCAGTTATAACAAACATTTGCGAAATAACATGCGAATTTGTATAACTTTCTTATAGTTCAAGTGCCATATGCAGTTTTAGGATGATCAGATAACTTGCCCTTCCTTTAATGATTATCTACCACACTAAATACTCACAAACGCCGATGTTAAATGAAATCTTTCATCAACGTATCATCACGAACTGTAGCATGAACCTTCCCTACATCAGGTACGTCCATCGTTCTTGAAAATTTGCGGCCGACTGCTTTCTCCTCGGAATCGAATTTCTTACTCCCGCCCAACTTCCGTAATCGATTGTAGAAAGAGCAGCGCAATCTCTTTGTCACTTCGTGAAGCAGATCGTGTTATTCGGAAGTAGACATGGAACGTTCCAGCACTCCCACTTTAAGACGATCGCCTCCGCGATACTCCATCCATAAAACATTCAAGGAGAAAAATTAAAGATAAAAATTGAGACCTTTTTGAGAAAATAATTGTTTTAAAATGCCTGTAACCACACAAAATTACGCAAAAACCACTTGTGTGATCGAAAACTTGAACGTAATCTTAATTCAAGATCTGTTTTTGAACAATAGATTTTATTAGGGAAATCTTAATATTGAATATTGTAGTTGTAAGAAGACGCTAAAAAATATCATCTTTCGGAATTTTCGAACTTTTAAGAGATTTTAATGAAAATATGACCTGCCTCATTTTTATAGTCTTTTACGCTACCTCTACACTAAGTTTGATAAAAAAGAAATAGTGGTAAAGGTTGAGGGTTCATTTAAAGTACCCTTCAAAATCAAAATATCCGTTCCAGTCTTGCAGAGCTTTCAGTTCCTTTAACGCGATTAGAAGTTTCTCCTTGGAACTGAGGGCCTGTTTACGCTTCGGAGTCTCACCTACTAAGATAACTAAGGACTTGTTCCTATGAGGGCAGATTCAAGTCTCCTTTCGCACCCCGTCCAACGAAAAATTGAATTTACTCATTGCAGAATGGTGACTCATCTTACAAATTTATAGTATTGTCCCTCGGCCCAATGTATTGGCTTATTGATTAATTTATTCATTATCTGATGTTTCCGGGGGCGTCACCTGCTCTGGTCATTTAGAACTGCTACATCTCAGTGTGAAGTGCTGTTCCTTCCCCGCTAGATGGTAAGATTCGCCGGCGAAATACGTGAACATTTCCGGGCGCACCGTTCAGGCCGGCAAAAATGTCTGAGCTTCTGGCTCGCTTCACGACGAACATGAAAGTGTAAGTGTACGTATAAGGGAAGATAATGAACAAGAAAGATATAGGAAATATTGCGCGTAGTCCGAGGACCTTTTGTTAGGATGCAGCGCCAGCATTCGTCTGAAATTAATCGGAGAAAGCAAGGGAAACTACCAATGGGGCAGCTGGCCTTTGTTACGTTCCCCCAGAAAAGGGCTGAATTTGAACTATCTAGCTAGCTAGTGTCGAAAATCTACCACCACCGCGACTCGAACTCTTACCCCCCCCCCCCGTTCAGCATTGCTGCAGGTACAGCGGCCATGCAGTCTCTGCGCCAACTCAGCCTGACCCTCGGCTCACATCCTATTAAAATATGCATAGTAAATATGAAGTACCAGCTCTCACTTTACGTCGCGAAAGCTCATCTTTCGTAAACATTCATGAATATTATACAGCTTCATTCCCATTCAGGTCCATCACTATCAAATGCTGCTCTTCTGTCCTTGCGAACTCACGAAATCCTCCAAAACCACCGGTCGGTCTCCAACCACCCTCGTGGCCTTTAGCTTTCCACCCACGCACTCCCCGCCCCGCCCCCGCCCCGCCCCTCCGCGCGTGGCGCCATCGATCCAGCGCGGGGGGCAGCTCGGCACCGGGCGCGAGGCCCAAATAAACGGCCGTCGCCCCAGGCCTCCTTCCGACCCCCCCCGCACCCTCGCGCCCGCGCCCGCGCCCGCTCCCGGCCTCTGCGCGTCGACTGGTGGGTCTGCGGTTCAAGCCCAGATGGGGGCAGGATTTTCGACACAGTCAAGTCCAGTTCAGACGCTGCCTGGAGGGGAATTCTAACGGCCGGATAGCGTAGTAAGAACGCTTGTCAAGAGTTGAAGTCAGAAGACTACATAAGCAAAGTGAAAGTACAGTCAAATAAAGGCTCGTTAATTGAACAATGATGGAACCTCATTATGATGTGACAAGTACATCGTTCGTCCCGGCCTGGATAAATGTTTGCATAGGCGTACGCAACCCAAACCACGAGGGGCCAACAAAATATCGAAAGCCGCCCTTTCCATGTAGCTTTTTTATCTGCCATTTTATGTCATTTTCCTTAAGCAACAATTTTCAATATATTTTATGAATTTCTTAAAATTTATGAATTTCTGATTGCTTTGGGGTGGTTATATGAGGGTTTAACTCCGAATTTTTGATTTTGACGCTTTCTTACGAGTTAATGTGGGGAAATTGTGTGTAAATGGGGGAATTAAATGTAAATTGACCCCTTCCAGAATAGAGTCGAATGTTTCGTCACTTTTTTTGTCTCGATTTTGTCAGTCAAAAAAAAGTAATTTTAATTATTGAAAAAGAGTAGTAGACTATTAAGTAGAAGATTTCACTATTACACCCAAGTAAAATGCAACAGTATCAAATTTTGTACCATATCCCTAAACAATTATTGAGTTAAAGAAATGCATATTTGGGGGAAATAGCAACGGATGAAAAATCGCCACTATCAATTTTGTATTTATCTACTAAGTATTAAGAAACCCGAGAAGTTACGATAACGCAAAACCACACGTTGATAGCAAATTCATCCGAATTTTCCTTTTTAATTAAAAATTATCCAATCAGCAAATAATTGATGTCACGAAATGAAATAGAAAACTAATAATATTGAGAAGTAAAAAACGACGTTTATTATCTCCTCGAAAATACAGTTTTCCTAAAAAAGATCCTTTTTTTCAAATATTTTGTTGAACATAACTCATTGCGTTTAAAAAATCTTATATTTCACAAATTATTACACATAAGAAAATGAGAGACACATTGATTGGACTTCAATCTGTTCAAGTTTTTATCACGACATACATATCCAACATACAATATATATATATATATATATATATATATATATATATATATATATATATATATATATATATATATATATATACGGGAAAGTGACCAGTGCTATTTTTATGTTATCCGAGGAGAAAGTTGAATATAAAAATTTTGCCACTTAAAAACAAAATGCAAATGTCCTTGAGACTTCATATGTAGTACCTCCAAAAATTAAAACATTTCAAATTCAAGCTGCCGCAACATCAGTCAGATAGAAACAATACATTTTGGTAAAAATCCTGCTTACGGTTTGACCGCTAGCGTTTTTCACAGACGTTCGTTTTTCCATAAACCAATTGTTTGGTATCAAAGACCCACAACACATGTATTGTGACTACACATCATGTTAGAGGAAGTAACATAACACATAGAGAAATAAGAATTATCTTTTCCGGGTTCAAGGATCTACAATAAGAATTTTTCTGCAGAAAAATCGCTGCAGAAAATTCTCTGCTTCATGATCACATGACTTTCTCTATACTACGTATGTGGTGTACGAGAAAGTAAAACAATATATTTCTTCCAAATATTTAATTAGTTTGAAGCAGGAAAAAATGTGATTATTTTGTCATTTCTCTTCACATTAAGCCTTTGAAACGGATTCCTATGCCGATAGCGTTAATGAACTGACCGCTGATACTACAAACGCATTCACTTTTCTTGATGGAAATGAGTCACACGAGAGACATACATTGTTTATGTCTAAACTTCATTAACTTATCCACATTCCTCACCTTCAAATAAATTATTGTGAAAAATGTTAACCATTCGGTGGAAACGGTAATGTTGAGTACTAATTGACACAATTCCCGGCACCTGAAAGTTTAATCAATTCTTCTGCGTTATAATGACCGGCAGTAGAGACTACAATTATGTGTGAGTCAGCTTTTTATTTTTAGGGGGGTGAGGACTTTTGCGATTATTACAACTCTGATAGCCTATGGCACGGGCTGAGTATAAAACCGTCTAAAAGACAGTTTCAATTTTGGAAACATTTTTTTGGTTTGGTCGGTAATGGGGCACTAAGAAAATGTCTTCATTCCATTTAATTTTGTCTCGATTGTTCTGAAAGCCATTGATTAAACTTGTACAAAGTGTATCTTTTTATTTCTCACATTTTTCCATCCATTCGATGGAGCAAAAACGACCATATCTGTCACTCTCTGCTTTACTTGTTTATCCTCGGACTCGTTATTGCATTAATATTTTTTTCAAGAGACAGGTCAGATTTAAGGTTGGGAAAGGTGGACGTAGTCCTACAGGCTCCAACCAAATGGAAGGTGGAATTGTGGACCTTAACAAAAGTCATACAATATAAACGAAATTCATATATTTATATATTTTTGACATTTGTGTAACACATTTTTTTTCATGCATTTTAATTGCATGTATTACATTACAAAATTGTGATATACTTTATACTTTTATTTTGTTTCAATTTTACTTTTGCATTACCGTATTTTTATTATCATATTAACCTTTTTCTCTGGCGCCTAAGAACAATGCAATAATACAGAACTATGTTCAAGATGCATCCCCGCATGTGGAATTCATTTTGAAAAATTGGCTCATTTTGATTAATTAATTATAAATCTTAAAGTTTGCTTCAAAATTAAAATAATTAAATACTCGACAATATCTCAACGACCTCGCTATTTTAAGAAAAAGTAACGATATTCTGAGAGAAATGTTTCGACAATTTTGCAGCAAGGAAAGTGCCTTTTTGATGCGTATATGTCACGTTTACAACAATAATAATTATAACAGTTAATTGTCTGTTTAATAGTTGCCGAAAAATTAACAATTATAGTTTTAAAGGGATTTTGATAATTTTCATGATATTTCTCCACCAAAGGGGCTCGCACCAAATTGTTGCCCAGGACTCCCCACCACAGTAAATCCGGCCCTGATAAGAGAGACTG